AAACCCCAAAACCCCAAAACCCCATCATTCTAATTCAAAAATATAAAGGGTAAATTAATTCTTTTAAAAAATCAATATTTTTACATTTGAAATATATCAATTTCAGGCACAATAGCATTATCAGATAATTTTTAATTTGAAATTGATCATTGCAAATACCAGGGAAATAAACGATGTTCTGATTGCATTAATGATAGTCATATTTAATGGAATTCCCAAAATCGTGATTGGGTTGAACTATATTTCTTTTTAAAGACGCTCTTAGATACTATCAATAACACTCATAGACTATTTAATCATTCGCTTGCCGTATTTCTCACCAACATCCTCAATTTTGTATTAGAAGTATAAAAAGGCATCCCTATAGGTGTTATTCAATAGTGCATCCCTAGTTTCTTGAGAGGTTATAGAATAATCCCACTCTTGTAATATTCTTTACATAATGCTTTTTATCTCACTCAATCTTAAGAGATGGTTATTTGAAATGCTGTTTATTTTAGCTCCAACATTGAAAAGCTCATAAAGGATAAGGAAAACTATTATCAAGTCTAATCCAACAGTCAAAATCAACGAGAATTAGATATTATGCTGCTCATATAAGACGAAATACCAGGCTAGGAAAAGACCTCCAACCAAAGAATAAAATATAAGATATATCGTGGCAAATGCTTTAAATCTTACGAAAAATCGCTACCCCATATCTAGATACATCATTCTCATATCCATCCAAGAAAGTAATGACTTAGCATCAAAATAATTGATTAAAGTGAAGTTCCTATATTTTTCTTTTATTTTATATCTGTTAGGTTCAAGATTAGCTTCACATTAATACATAGCAACGAGTCTTCTTTTCATATCCTAATTTCCGATAGCAAGGAAGTATATATTTAATGACCAGATGAATGTATTGAAATACAGTAATAGGATATTATAGATCCAGAATGTTTGATTATAGTACTTTTGACTAATTTTGTCTACATTTTCTGCAGCTTAGTCTTCTTAAAATTCGATTATTAGAGGAAGAATACTCTGAATTAAACGTAAAGGGATAAAGTGAATCAGCGTGTATGAATTTACGAAATGTTTTGATTTTAAGAATAGCTCCCTGAACACTAATCTTCCAGGATACAATGTATATAAATCTTCTTTATTTGGAGCCTCTAGTTAAGTTAAGCGAATACTTTGATCATCACCTACTTGAATGATGTGCTTTTCTGATCTTTTACTTGACTTAAGAGTTTGCTTGTTTGATTCTTACAAAAAGATTTTTTGATATTACTTATACATTTATCTTTCTTTTTTCATATCATACGTACTTTCTCTAGAGAAGTTATAATCAAGAAGTTTATTTCTAACTTCATTGCTAACTTTGCTAAAAAACTTGATCTTAAAAAACACATTTTCTACCTCATTTCTAATCATGCAACTCTTTATCTCCTTATCCAATAAAACTGGCTTTATTTCCATCCAGCCACTTGTTATCCATTCAGACTCTAATTCGCTTCTTGTTAAAATTCTTTCCTATTGAATTTTGAGTGTAGAGGAGACAGTAGTTGCATACCTGACAGCAACTATCATACATCTTAATAATACTTATACAAGTGCAACTATCAACATTGTTTGAGAAAGTTATCCTTTTTCATTGTCGAAAATGTGTAGATATAATGGAATTATCAATGACAGCCATTAAGAAGTTTGCATCAAATAAGATCTTGAAATTCCGTAAAATCCCATGTTTATCATTAGCTCTTTTGTCTCAAATATTCTTAGAATGATAAAGGTGAAAGGGCCTAGTACCACAAAATACAAAATGTGATAGATAAAAAATCTGACGAAATAGTCTAATCTAAATGACGTGTAGCTATCTCTAATTATTAAATCCTCTTTATTAAATGGATCGTTACACATTGACTTAATCTATGATCAAATCAAATCATCTATTTCCTATCTTTTACTTTTTTTAATATCGGGGTTTATGGTCAATGACTCGAAGTCTTTTGTAGAATCATATTTAATTTTAGTTGAGAACTATATTTTTTATTTTCTATAAGTAAGATGATTAAGAATTATGTTACAATCTGTCACAGCTCTGTTCTAGATCATCAGTTTATTTCTCATAATCGTCTAATTCTTTTTAGGCTGCTTCATATTCCTTTATCACCATATCAATCGAGTCCTTAATTTCAAACCTCTCAGTCCTTGAGGATGTAAGCTATTGATGATCAACTGGATTGATTTTAATCTTTTGAGCTTTTAGGTTATTATTTTCAGGTGCTTAATTTTATTTTTCCATCCACAAATATCCTACTTATTTATTTA